GTCCTGTGGATTCATGGGCAGCTTCTAGTGGTCCTGTGGATTCATGGGAATGTTCTAATGGTCTTGTGGATTCATGGGCAGCTTCTAGTGGTCCTGTGGATTCATGGGCAGCTTCTAGTGATCCTGTGGATTCATGGGCAGCTTCTAGTGATCCTGTGGACTCATGGGCAGCTTCTAGTGATCCTCTGGACTCATGGGCACCTTCTAGTGATCCTCTGGATTCATGGGCAGCTTCTAGTGATCCTGTGGACTCATGGGCAGCTTCTAGTGATCCTCTGGACTCATGGGCACCTTCTAGTGATCCTCTGGACTCATGGGCAAGTTGGGCAGCAACATCAGGGTTATCTTTGAACTTCTGGTGGATGACCCTCTCTTGGCAGATTTGTTTCCATGTTTTAATCATATCGGTACATTCAATGGAGAGTTCCTATTGTAGACAGTTCCTTGGTCTTCATGATGTCTCGTCATTGAAAGCTTTATGCTTTTAATTAAACAAAACTTCCAGTTCAATTCTAGGCCCCGGGCATGGGGATGAAATCTTTGGCGAGGTGCTGCACTTCTGCAGCTCTTCTTGTCACTTATTATAGGGTTCAAGTCTGAGCCCCTGACGATCAGACACAGTTTGAGAGCGGTGATGAACGCCTGCAAGTGTTTCCAGAGTTGATTTCATGTGAGTAAACAGAAAAGTGGAAAGAAAATATAAACTTTTTGCCTTTAATGTCTAAAACTGTCAGTTTTGTTTAAAAAGAAAATTTCAAGCATTCAGACACGAACAGTAAGTGAAGTTTTTCTCTCTTCTCTCCGTTTTAACTTCTCACATGTATAAAAAAAAACTGTGTATTTTATGTATTTTTTTGTGTTTGTTGCAGATAAACCATGCCGGACCCGTTCCCCATTCTTATTACGTGCGAGATCACGTAAAGGTGAATTACGAATGTTGTCTGACCGTCAGCCGGGGTTCTACCCAGCAGCTGGACTTTGAGATCCTGTTTCCAGGCTGCGTCCTCCGGTTAGTCACCCATCAGGACATTACTGTCATCTAACTTTTATACTTTACATCTGAAGTTATTGACGTCTCCTCAAAAGAATGCGGTTCGGTTACCTGGGGTCACCTCCTGCAACAAAACAACGTTCGAAATGCGTTTGATGGTTCCGATTCGTCTTGAATAAGGGCGCGCCTCAAGTTTGCAGCACAACATTCCTGAATAATTACCTTCGACTGTTTCAGTCAGGTAAATTCAAGTCTGAAGTTTCAAGTGAGTCCGATTAGGCGCAGCAAACAATCAGAAGGTCGAGGAATAGTTTTTTCAAAACAAAATGGACCGAAAAAAGCCGTAGTGGTGTTTCCTCTCAGATGGTGATCAGTTGTATCTATTTATCCTGAAGATAGACCGATGGAGACCGTCAGGGGCAACTGAAGCAGCCTTCTTTCACTCTGGATTCTCCTGCTTCTCTTTTTATTTTACGCCCGTCGACAGACATGTTCTCTGTCCGTAACCGCTGATCCGCTCAAGATAATTTAATAAAACGTGCTACACGTCTGACGATGTGTCGCGTTCACTTTTCATCATCCGAAGTCCAAGGTCAAGGTCACAAATCAAGATCAAAGTTTCATCTGTCTTTGCTTGTCCAGACCATTGCTTCAGATTGCTGCATGCCTGTTTGCTGACAGGCGGTCCATGTGCCGTGCACGGTACTTGTTGTTTATATAAGAAGTTAAAGGAGCCACATCAGGCCAGGTGCAGGTTTTAAAGGAATGAATTTTGTCCACCACCTTTATTGCCAGAGCTCTGAGTTAAAATAATCTCCTCCTTCAGCCTTTTCTAGGAACTCTGATTGCACAAGATCAGTCAGCACTTGTGTTGAGAATGACTCTCAGCTACTACCACAACAACCAACTGGAGCTCAACATCTGTCACACGGACTGAGTTGAAGACATTTTTGTGTTGGCTAAAGTCAGTTGTTTTCTTGTTGCCTGCCTTTCACCTCAGCTGGTGGTCGTCAGCCTGCCAGGTACAGACATGCCCACCTGACTGCAGTCTACCAGGTGCATTGTGGGTAAAGATTTAGATTTAGGTCGTTTTCACAGCTGATAGTCCGGTAGACTCGGTTCGGTTCGGGACCAATATTCATGACCTTTTGTTACATTTGAGCTGGTGCGTTTGCATTCACACTGCACTGTGCAGTCGAGTCAACCTGTTGAAGCAACCTGTTGAAGCAACCTGTTGAAGCAACCTGTTGAAGCAACCTGTTGAACCAACCAGTTGAACCAACCAGTTGAACCAACCAGTTGAACCAACCTGTTGAACCAACCTGTTGAACCAACCTGTTGAAACAACCTGTTGAACCAACCTGTTGAAGCAACCTGTTGAAGCAACCTGTTGAACCAACCTGTTGAAGCAACCTGTTGAAGCAACCTGTTGAACCAACCAGTTGAACCAACCTGTTGAAACAACCAGTTGAAGCAACCTGTTGAACCAACCTGTTGAACCAACCTGTTGAACCAACCTGTTGAAGCAACCTGTTGAACCAACCAGTTGAAGCAACCAGTTGAACCAACCTGTTGAACCAACCAGTTGAAGCAACCTGTTGAACCAACCAGTTGAAGCAACCTGTTGAACCAACCTGTTGAAGCAACCAGTTGAAGCAACCAGTTGAACCAACCAGTTGAACCAACCTGTTGAACCAACCTGTTCCCCCGCTCACCTGTGGGGGCGCTGCACCAAGAGCTAGTGAAAGAAACGACACAAAAATCTCTGATGACACGTCTTCTTCTTCTTCTTCTTCTGTAAATAAAAATAAAAACGAAGTGGCATCAAGTTTTATCAGTTTTAGGAGTTATATTTAGTCATTTTTCATCAATGGACTCAGCATGAGCAGAAGATGAGACAGAAGACCATGGAGAATATTGTTTTTCACACAAGGCAGCTGACGGCTCCATATAAGAGAAATGTGTGTTTGTTTGTCCTGTGGAGCGGGACCCGGTCTGTTTACATTCACACTGTACTGGAACCACTGGAGTTCTCTTCTACCGGACCCAGACCTAGGTTTTAGCCCGGGCCAGAGTTCACCTTTTTGTTCCGTGACAGAGTTCGATGGTGCGTTCACACCTCCCTAAACGAACCGGACTTTCTAGGAAAACGTGCTGGAGTTGGATTAAAGCGACTAAACAGAGCTGCTGTGAATGCACCTTTTGGCACATATTCTGGTTCAGAGTGGTTTCAGTTCAGTTTAGAAAGCGCCAAATCCCAACAAAGTTGTCTCAGGGCACTTTACAGGAACATTCAAGCTTTATAACCTTTAGTCCCGTTGAGCCACGAGGACTCATTCACAAGAGAGACCTGGATTCAACAGAGTCATGACAACAGTGGACAACAACAGACATTCACAAATGATTCATACGAATTTAAGTTTTCTTTTTAACAACTGAAAACAAAATGATAATTAAAAGGAGAAAAAAACGTAGTGAAAAAACAGCTAGATTATGAGAATACATAGAAAAATACATAGAAAAGCCGATTAGTAAAGTTCTCTAAGGTTTGTGTCCAGGATGATAAATGCAGATTGTACAAGACGTTCTGTCTTTTGAAAGATTCAGATTTCTCCTCGTTCTGCTCTGTAGGAGCCGAACAGAAACGTTTGCCTCACTTTTGTTTGGGTGGAGATCCAGACGGAGGTCGGTGACGTCTGTTTGAACTTCAGAACTCAGCACTCCTTGAAGTAATGCATACGCCCTTCAGTTCTACACAGAGCTTGTGTTGAGAAGCTTACAGTGCACGTTGTGAATGACTCTCGGCTACTACCACATCTTAACGTAGCTCAATATCTGTAAAAACAAGTTACAGGCACTTTTGTTTTGATTAACGTTCATTAACTGTTGCAGCCATCTTGAATTGAACCTAAAAGTTAACTAGAGAAATTGCATTTCCTGTGAATATGCAGCGTGAATGCTTCTTACAGAAGAACTTGCTGAAAAACAGCTGAAATTAGCTAAAACAACCATGCTGAAACGTAGCTGAAAATGTAGAGCAAGCGTAAATCAGCAAAAAAACAAAAGTTGAAATGAGTGAAAAAAATGTGAAATTAGCTGAAAAAGCTAATACTAGAATAAAAGCAGCTAAATAGTAGCTGAAACAACTGAAACTAGCAGAAATATGCTGAAAAGAGCATAACAAGTTGAAAATATCAGAAATAAATTAATTAGGCTGAAAGTCACAGAAATTACCACAAAAAATTGAATTTATCTGAAAACAGCTGAAATAAGCGAATTGAAAAGGTAGAACAAGCTTAAATTAGAAGAAAGAACAGTTTGCCCAGTTAGGCTGAAAGAGGCTGAAATGAGCAGAAATTACCTGAAGAAAGCTGAAATTAGTACACACACGCACACACACATACACACACACACACACACACACACACACACACACACACACACACACA